ACGAGAAGATCGAACGGCACGTATCCAGAGGTGGGCTCTGTTTCTAAGTCAATACCGGTACCGCATCAAGTACAGGGCCGGGAATCAAAACGCCAATGCAGACGCACTTAGCCGTTTGCCCGTGCCGACACCAGAGGTTGTTCACTCCGAAACCTTGCCAGAATACGTGCTGTCCACAGAGCAGCTTTCCAGGTCGAACGTGCCAGCCGGTGCTCTAAGGGGAGATGCGGGTCAAAAAACGTGAGTTTTTTTTCTAAAATACCATTTTTTAATTTTCGCATGCTTTGATAAGATTAGTATCTCTACTGTTATGAAAAAAAAATATTACAGGTTGAGACTGAACTGAAAATGCTTTAAATTGCATCTAAAGAGCCCAAGGTGCCTGTTAAAAGGGCGAAAGTGTGCAGTCTTCGACCACCTTGCCGCCAATATTGTGCCACTGCTTGCCATTGTTGATCGTAAGAGTCGAAGAGTCGAGTCTCACTTTTCAAATAACAACAGTTTTTCTCGCTGATGCAGCGCAAGAAATAATAAAAAGAAGCACTTTTCTGCGCGTTTTTCGAGCGCCGCGACTGGCTTATCGCAATTTACGAATCGGGGACCGCAGTTGGCCGCTGCGCGCCTGTATGTGCTTCGAAACCTATTTGCGGTGTCCATGTCTTGTCGAGCAGCACAGCTAAACAATGCTTTTCCCGTGTAATTATCTCTGTTATGAATTAAAAAGGCATTGCTCGCAAGTGAAAGCCGTTATGCAGCGCGCTCTGTAGGAATAGGCTACGAGCAGCTGGTCCGATTTGCGGCAGTTGTTGGCTTGCAAAAGCCGATGCATCAAAAGTCATTCACACCTGTCAGCTGGAAAGTTCGTGATGTGGTAATGAATGACGTCAGCGCCAATTTTGAGAGGTCAAAAGAGCTCGCAGTGAGAGAACTTAGCAGGGACGACATTGCCATTATGCACGACGGTATGTGGCACAAACATGGCTGCAAAATGGCATGACACTGAACTTAGTTTGGATTTCAAAGTGCTGTCAAACTTCTTCCCAGCTTGCAGTTGGCACAAGGCTCTGCAAGATGGAGCGGAAGTTTGGCAAGCGTTTCATGGCCCTGTCTGTGAGCGAAATGTTTGTGAGGAGTCGGTTCGAAAAAGCCGAGAGGGACGAACTCATGGTGCTGGCGTATTTTAGTGGCAGTGGCCATTACTATAAGGATTGTGCTTTTTGATGTGCAAATTTCATCTGATTTAATGATATCTTTCATAAATAAAAACTCAATTTTAATTTTAAAACTCGTTTTTCTCAAAACACAAATTTTGCCATTTTTTTCCTTTGTGCCCCTCCTTTTTCAGGCACTTCTATTGCTCTGATCTGCATGAAATTTTGCCCAAATTTTTTACAAAGGATGGCGAATGCAATTATTTAGTTTAAGTTTCTATATTTTAATGTTTAACAAAAAATCCAATGTAAGCCTTACTAGGGTAAGAGAAATATGGACTTTTTACGTCTATTATATTTCATTCGTATTACATATTTTTCATGTGCTTCGTAATTAGTTATTTGCACTCTACGCCTTGTTTGAAGCATTATGAACTATGAATGGTAAAAACTCACACAAAATTAGGGATGAAACGAGGGAGGGGGCAAAAGGGTTAGGGTTTTCACTTTGTCATGATGCAGAGCTGAAAGTGTGTAACCTACAAGAAAACTAATTATACATTTGAAATCAGCATAAAAAGTTCCATAAAGAGCTCAAGTCTCATCGAAATAGTGTGAATATTAAAGAAAGTGTCTTTGAGCAGCATCTTCCCTCAAGGGCGTTGACCAGTGCGGTCAAAGATCTCACTAGTCCATCCTTGCCTGGGAAAATCTTTTCGACCTTGCAGAGTTTCCACTGAGTTCTTTTTTGCGCTTCTCCAAGCAGAAGTACATCTCCTTCTTGTACATTTGTGTGACGCTCTGTTTTTCTGCTGGCACACTTAAGCTCCCTCAGGTACTCTTTTTTCCATCTGGTCCACCATGTTTTCATTGCCCGTTTTCTTGCACTCCAGTAATTCAGCAAACTGTATTCTCCGAGTCTCTTTTCTTCGTGCTTGTTCATTGCTTTTTTCCCATCAAACTTGATCATCTCAAGACGTGTCAACTTGACAAGCTCTTGCGTCTCCGAGATTTGGTTAGTACCTTGCACTGAACTCACCTGTTCTGTGACTATTCTCGTAGTCAGTTGCGTCGCTTGTTCTAACTCGCGTAATTGCTCCTCTATTTTTTTCGTTGCAGCGACGATCTTCATCTCATAATGCAAAACTCTTTCAAATTCTGCCTCCGCGTCGTCTTCTTCAATGAACGGTTCTATCTGTTCGTTAACTTGTCTTAGCCTCTGTGACACACTCTTCATCTGGTTCAGAAGCGTCACAAGTTGTGCTCGATGGGCGTCTTCTTCTATCTTCTTATCAATCTCGCTCGTAAGCGTCATCACATTTGCTCGAAGCACCTTCCGCTTCTTCAATAGGACCTCTTTATTCATGCTTAAAACGTGTTGAAAGAGCTCTTGCCTGTTTATGTGTGTCGCCAACAGTCGTCGCTTGTGGTCCTTCTCTCGACGGTTCGTCCTTTAGTCAGACGCCGCTGCTTCGTTCTTCAACCCGTTGTTGCGAATGGGGTTGAAGTCTGTGCGTCTGTCTTCAGATCATCCTGGTCACGGCACCATGTTTCAGAAGGACCAGAGAGACCGCAGAACTGATACGTATTCGGTTTATTGTTGACAGAACGAGAAAAAAAATATGCAGAGCGTGACCCTGGCTACTTCTTCCTCGCCTCCGAGCTCCATCTTCAATCTGTTTTCTACATCTTCCCGCCGGCCAGATTCAACCGAAGCAACCTTCGAGCGAATACAACAGTTGAATCGGCCTCTTGACTAATTTTCCTTCAGGTGTACGAAGCAAGCATGTTCTCACTAGTCCATCCTTGCCTGGGAAAATCTTTTCGACCTTGCAGAGTTTCCACTGAGTTCTTTTTCGCACTTCTCCAAGCAGAAGTACATCTCCTTCTTGTACATTTGTGTGACGCTCTGTTTTTCTGCTGGCACACTTAAGCTCCCTCAGGTACTCCTTTTTCCATCTGGTCCACCATGTTATCATTGCCCGTTTTCTTGCACTCCAGTAATTCAGCAAACCGTATTCTCCGAGTCTCTTTTCTTCCTGCTTGTTTATTGCTTGCCTGCCTCCTATAACGTCGGCCGGTGTGATGGGTTGTGGCTCGTTAGGATCGTCATACACATAAGTAAGAGGCCAGTTGTTAATTACTCCGTCTACTTCAACAACCACAGTCCGTAGTTCTTCATCCAAAAGTTTTCTTAGTTCGGCGTCATTTGAAATTCATTTTCTTAAATTCATTCCCTCATTACGAAAAATGTCTCGTGCTACGTTGTATATCTTTGTCGATGTCGAGTATTCGTCGGCTCCTAGTAAAACGTCATCGACGTAGATTCCTTTCCGGAGTTGCGCCACAACTTCAGGATATTTTTCTTCGAATTTATCCAAATGTCGATGAATCGTGGCCGCTAGAAGGAGGCTTCTTGGTGTAGTTCCGAAGGTAACCCTCGTCATCCTCCATGTTTTTATTTTCGGGGTTGGCATATCTTCGCTGGGTATTCTTTCCCACCACATGAATCGCAGTGCGTCTCGGTCATTTTAATGGTAATTGATCTGCAAGAATGCTTTTTCCACGTCGGCTGACATAGCGATCTTGTGATGTCGAAAGTTCATCAGCAAGCTTGTGATGTCGGGGTTTAGGTTTGGCCCCTTTTCCAAGTTGCCATTTAAGGATTCACCTGGATTCTGGTTTGACGATGCGTCAAAGACGATCCGTATTTTTGTCCTTGTTCGGTCCTTCCTAATTACTGCTTGATTTGGTGCCGTGACCAGGAGTGATCTGAAGACAGACGCACAGACTTCAACCCCATTCGCAACAACGGGTTGAAGAACGAAGCAGCGGAGTCTGGCTCAAGGACGAACCGGCGAGAGAAGGACCACGACCGACGACTGTTGGCGACGCACATAAACAGGCAAGAGCTCTTTCAACACGTTTTAAGCATGAATAAAAAGGTCCTATGGAAGAAGCGGAAGACGCTTCGAGCAAATGTTACGACGCTTACGAGCGAAATCGATAAGATAGAAGAAGACGCCGATCGAGCGCAACTTATGACGCTTCTGAAACATGGTCGGTTCGAAAAAGCCGAGAGGGACAAACTCATGGTGCTGGCGTATTTTAGTGGCAGTGGCCATTACAATAAAGATTGTGCTTTTTGATGTGCAAATTTCATCTGATTTAATGATATCTTTCATAAATAAAAACTCAATTTTAAATTTAAAACTCGTTTTTCTCGAAACACAAGTTTTGCCATTTTTTTCTCTGTGCCCCTCCTTTTTCAGGCACTTCTATTGCTCGGATCTGCATAAAATTTTGCCCAAATTTCTTACAAAGGATGGCGAATGCAATTATTTAGTTTAAGTTTCTATATTTTATTGTTTAACAAAAAAATCTAATGTAAATCTTTACTAGGGTAGGAGAAATACGGACTTTTTACGTCTATTATTTTTCATGCGTACTACATATTTTTCATGTGCTTCGTAATTAGTTATTTCCACTCTACGCTTTGTTTGAAGCATTATGAACTATGAATGGTAAAAACTCACACAAAATTAGGGATGAAACGAGGGAGGGGGCAAAAGGGTTAGGGTTTTCACTTTGTCATGCTGCAGAGCTGAAAGTGTGTAACCTACAAGAAAACTAATTATACATTTGAAATCAGCATAAAAAGTTCCATAAAGAGCTCAAGTCTCATCGCAATAGTGTGAATATTAAAGAAAGTGTCTTTGAGCAGCATCTTCCCTTAAGGGCGTTGACCAGTGCGGTCAAAGATCTTAGTGTTGTCCAGAACTCCATACGTAATGGATGGTCTAAACGCCTTTCAGCATGTCACAGTCATCTCCAACCTTATTTTTGCAGGCGACTGGAACTGTCGAGCGCCGAAGGTCCGCTCTACTGTGGTCATCGAGTTATCATATCCGTCAAGGCACAGGAGCTTATGCTATCGGAGCTACAACGCTCACACGAGACAGCATTGGTGATGAAAAGACTGGCTCGGACGTTGTTCTGGTGGCCAGAGTTGGATGGCGAGATCGAAAGTCTTGCTCGTTCATGTATGCCATGTGTACAAGCTCAAGCGATGCTGCATTGTCAGGGGCCTATCAGTTGGCCAGAAACAGCAATGAAGTGGAGTGCGGAGCAGCAAGCGTCACCACGGGAGGAGCTGTTAAGCTGAAGAACTCGAGAACGCAAGAACGCTGTTCCCGTTCCTTCTGCAATGGCACCAACATATCTTCCAGCCGTGGTGGCTTCCCCAACTCCTCAAGTCTTACAAAGATCTACCCGACTACGAAGACCCATGTGAATACTCAATCTTTAAAAGAAATGGAGAAGAGATAAGAAGTTCAGTGCCAACACGTGCCGAATGTCATCCACTCCTATACTTTGTGTTACGTCAACGGCAAACTGCCTATACATACCTAATCTTCTGCAAAATAAAGTCATTCTGAATTGGTTCCCGGCCAGGTTTGGCCATTCTGGGTTAGTTACTACATTTTTTTAGCGGAGGCAACTCATGGTAGATTCGAGGCCCCCTTCAGGTGCGGAAAAAGAGAAGGAACCACGTCGCTGTTCAGTCGAACGCACTTCATTATCAATCCCAGCGACTTTCACGCCGATTCAAAGTCTTTTCTCAGCGACCAATTGCACAGCCATCTTCTGATCTCGAGGAAATTTGTGGAGAGTTACCTGATCGTTAACAAAAGTGCTGCGGTAGCCATATGCCGAGTAGTCATACAGCATTGCAAGTCTATTTCGCGCCGCACAAACAAATCGAGTGAATGTCGGATGGCGAAAATCTCTAATCAGAAGAATAGACTGGTGCAATGGCAAGAAATTTCCGCGAACTGGCGGAAGTTATGCTTTGCCAGGCAGCAGATTGCAGCAGAAACAAGGCACAATCTCAAAGTGTCTCAAAGTAAACGACGCAGGCAGCCCGGCACCTCGATCTTTACGGTGTCGACTCCTCCCCCCCCCCCCCCCGCCTCTTTCTCTCCGACACTCCGCTCTGTCTACCCGCGCGCTGGGGGGGGTGGGGGTCATTTTTTTGGTCAAAGTTTGCTCACTTATAAAAGTATTGTTGAATTGAAAATCGCAAAACTAACGTTGTTAGCATGTGATAGGTCGCAGATACTGAATTCGCACTGCATTCACGAAACCAAAACCGCTGCAGTGTTCGTTTGAACCTCCCAAAACTACGGAACGATTATGAAAGATGTCTTAGTCGAGTGATCCGGGAATTTCAATCATCTGTTATTCTTTAGCGTGCATTCATATTGCAGAGTACGCGGGACTCTACTGTTTCGACTTCATCGATTAGTGACCGCTGTGGCTGGGATTGAACCCACCACCGCGGTTGACTACGAAATTGCATTAAGGAACAAAATTCTTCTCTTTTACATCAGAAGCACTATATCATTCAGCAATGCTTATCGAAACTGCCAGAAGTGCTTCCTTTGTTACTTTTATTCGACTGTCCAGTTACTCCTATAAAGCTGCTTCTGTGCACCGTGTGCGATTGCTTAGTAACCTTCCAGAATATTTTAGAATCTTCAAATAGACTTGAGCGATGAAAGAAGAACAAGAGGTTATTCTGCAGCTTACGCATTCATTAACGATGAGGCTTGATTGTTCTTTGCCGCGTGTATAAAAGCCGACCAACCTTACAGCAGATCGGACTACCATTTACCGACGCTCTGTTCAACGCAATCACTGTGCAGTGCATATTTCTTGTAGTTCCACTTACTCTTCCCAGACAGATGCTCATCTTAATAAAAAGTTCCACCTTTATTAGCCTGACCGCCGTTCCGAAGCGGGAAAATTCACTTACTAGGTGAAAACTGCGTAAGCTCTTACTCAGTTGCTTTATCACAATTAGAACGTGATTACATGCATGGTCAGGCTATCGAGCAATCAAGAACCCGTCACGCGTGCTTTGATGGTGATACATTTAATAAACTTGTCTCTGTTTTATCTTTCTGTTTTTTAAAGATGAAACCGTTTTATTTTGGGATTCACAAAAATGTCTGTGACGTATTTCTGTCAATGAATTGAAGTCTCAAAAATACGCACTATCAGAATACTAAGAAATGAATTTCCACCAATGCCATTCAAACCGATGAACCCTGGGTCCGTGACAAGAGAAGTTGGGCACGCTATCTACCGCACCACGGCCACATAGGTTGAATACTCTAAAGATACGTGTTTTATATCTACGCCACTCCTCTCAAGGTTTTTGCTAAAGTTCGGTAATGCATTATGACCATAGTTATAATGTTAATTCCTCTCACCGCTAGTGCCTTGAACCTTTTCTCTAGAGCCTTTTCTCTGGTTCCGCTCTCCCCCTGCACAACTATTTCAGCTACCACAAGCGTATATGACAGTAAGGGCTTGTTTAATCCTTATTGACGGAGGTTTGTTGTCGAGATACAGATGTTCGACTAAGCGGCAACGTGGATGCATCCACGCTAAGCAAGGCTACAACTTTCAAACACCAATAGACATTGCGCAAGCCCTTTTATATCGATATGCAATAAACACTAATATACTTATATAGTGACACATTATACTTTCGTGATTTCGAGTACTTTATTGTTTCATGTTCTTATTATTACATGAAAATACACAACACTTCTATACCTATAGCCGCTGGCTAGTAGACGGTCTTGTGGAATATACACCTAAAGGAACAGATTGTTTATGGAAATCAGCTGTTAAATCTAAACTTCAATCTTAACAAGCAAGAAAATAATGCAAAACATGAAAAAGAATCATACTATACCATTAACCTAAAAGCACGTTCCCAGGGTAATAGCAATACCGCAAAACACGGCGTGGACATGCATGCAAAATACTATTTCTATTATTTGCTTCGAATATACAGATTTCTAAGATAGAGGCTTTGAATATGTTTTTTCGTGCTTTTGGACACATGTTTTGCCACTCTACCAAGTAGAGGTAGTCGGAAGTCAGCGCTCTTTCTGCCTAGGCTGTCTTTATTATTCTATGTTCGCGCGCTAAAAAACTAGCAAGTATATTACCGAGGCCTTCCTCCAGCAACGAGTTTACTGCATGCAGGCTGCGAATTTCCCGCCAGTGTTCAGTTCGTACTAGACCACTGCACGGTTAGTTTTTTTCCCGTCCGGGCCCGGCCCGGACCGAAAACTTTATGCTTCGGTCTGCTCGAGCCCAGTTCAGCCTTTCTGGGGCAGCTTGAGTCAGTTGCTGCCCAGACGGCTGGACAGTTCAAGATAAAGGTCAGGTACTTGTTATGCAACTTTGTGCTGCCGTGGGTGAATGCGTCAAGTGCTTTCCGCAGTCATTTGCTCGAACCGTGAAGCTCCAGTGTGGGCGCCTAAAACCCGGTTTAGCGACTGCCATCTTCTTCAGCTCTACCTCGCACGCACAATAGGCGACCAGTAAAAGAGCGAGGAATATTACGATGCACCGTCTGCTACCGGCCTCCACTTAGAGACGAGTACACGACAGCGAACCACTTCACCGCAAAGCTCAGATTATTCGGAATTTACGCGCGCGGTCACGCGTTTATCTTCGTCCTGATAAACCATGGTCAGTTTTTCAGCCGCTGTCTGCCCCAACTTGAGCTTGGAAGGGAAACGCAGGTATGGATTCCCACGGGATGAAAAAAAAATTAGGTGGGCCGTGGCTGTGAAGAGATCCACAGCGACAGGTAGCTTTTGAGTACGGAAAGTTTAGGCCAGAGTGTGCGACGAAGTGACTCTTGAAAAGGGAAAAGAAGAGAAAAGTGAGCCCCGTTATTGTCTGCTTCAGTGAGCGACACCGCCACAGTAGCTCACGAGGGATGGGGGTGAGGAGGGATAAAAAAAGGATAGGAGTAAAGATGTAGGAAAGCCGAAGAAGGAAAAGAGAAGAAGAGACGTGAGGTGGTGAGCCAGAGCGAGCGACGACAAGATGAGGGGATAGAAGAGATAGGAAAGATGAAGCACGGTCACTGGAGTCCGAGGACGGGGCGCACCTGCGAGAGCTCCTTTCGGCGTCGGTGGATGGCGTAGAACAAGTCCACTAAGTCAGAGCTGCACTGTCGTCGGAGGTGGAAGGTCGTCGGCGGCAGGAGGTGACGTAGGACGAGCCCAGTCGGCCAGAGCCACGATGACGCTGGAGGTCGCAAGCGCGCGAAGCGCGCGAGCGCGCGACCGGTCAGCCCGAAATCCAGCAAGCCGCCAGAGTGTGCGAAAACCATTTTTTTGCAGGTACGTGTGTATTCCACACCAACAAAAACTCACGCATGAACTTGCTGCGAATATTATTTCGAGAAATAAATTGTCGCGCAGGCGCTCCTAGCAAAAAATATTACGGGAATGCGCGGGCGCAATTTACCTGCCATACGAGATGAGCGCCGGCCATTGCACCATATATATGAAAAAAAAAAAACGTGAAAGCTTCACTCAGTAGTAGGTTCACACAAAGCGCTGAACGAGTTCACTTGCGTTTATCGTGGTGAAACTCTGCGCCAGAACGGCACCCAAAGGAAGAAGTGCGTTAAACAAGCGCATTGTTTCAATTATTCGTCGCTGTCTATGTCTAACTGTATTGTTTATGCGCCGCCGAGTCGCACAGCTTGATCAAGATCAGCGTTCAAATAAGCGCCTGGCTTTGACTTCTAGATGCATACTGTAGCGCACTGAAGGCTCGAAAAAAAGATATCTCAACGCTCTCAAAAAGTGCTGCGCCTTATGCCAATCGACTGATTATGTCGGCCAAAGCACGGGTCCCGAAATTAACTTTTATAACACTGCTACTGTCATCCCCATCTCCCGAGATCTTTAATGTGGTGATATTTCATCTGCAGTAAGGTATCATAATATAAAAACTGTTTTCTGTATCATCTGACCTGCTAGCCAAACTGACAGTATCTCCGAGAAGCATAAAAGCGTTGTAGATATTTTAGTGTGATAAAAAAAGTTTCATACCAGTTCATGGCTTTTGTAGCTTGCCATTGTCACAGTCACGGCTAGAAAAAAAAAACAACTGCTTAAGGTGGCATTGCATTGCACTGACATTGCATGGAGAGGTGCTTCTTTTCAACAGAGTGATACAAAAACACGTGCGTGCCACTGCTAACCCGTGTGGTGTGTAGAACCGAAAGCCGTTGTATCCCACAGTTCCCTGCGATTGCCCATATTACCAGTCACCTATTAACAGAAGTCTGGCAATGACCGCGCGACCATTAAGAACGCACTATTAACGTAGATGGCTTGTCCCGAAAGGCCATGTCGGGTTGCCCTGCAGCAGCCATCGGCCTCATTCTATTTATGCCTTTGTTCATGCCATCAATAGGAGAGACGTTCAGCGCTTCGGCCGCCTAGCTCGTCCGCTTGGTGTACTATTAGCTCTAGCCATCGCTATTGAGGCGGACATACATGAACGGCCCATACCGCAGGTCAACCTGCACGGCGCTGTGTCTGGGGCCTGCTCCTG